AGCACAGAAGAAAGACTCTGTCTGCCAAAAAAACAAAAGATGACAATGGGGGGTGGTGTGTCCGCAGCTACTCAGGAGGCAGAATCATCTGGGCTCAGGAGTTAAAAGGTCCGGCCTGAGCAACATAATAAGACCCTGTCTCTTAGGAACAAAACGGGAGGGGAGAGAGTAGGTGGGGTGGGGGAGAGAGGAAGGGGTGGGAGCAGACGAGAAGAAAAATAAAAGAAGAAATAAAAAGAGTAGAGAAAGGAAGGAAGGGGGCAGGGAAGAGGGAGGGAAGGAGGGGGGCGAGCAGCGGGAGGGGAGAAAAGAAGAAAGGAAAGGAAGGGAATGAAAAAAAGAAAATGACAGTGAAAGGCCAGGCGTGGTGGCTCATGGCCTGTTAATCCCAGCAGTCTTGGGAGCCGAGGCAGGTGGATCACCTAGAGTACATGAGTTCGAGACCAGCTGCAACATGTTGCATACGCCCGTCTCTACTAAAATACAAACCTTAGCTGACCATGGTGGCAGGCGCCTGTAAGTACTCAGCACTTGCGGAGCGGCCTGAGACCAGGGGAATAGCCTTGAACCTGGGAGAGGCTGAGGTTGGGGCCTGAGTCAACGATGCACCCAGCGGGCACTCAGTCCCAGCAACAGAGCGAGAGCCCACTCACAAAAAAAAAAAAAAAAAAAAAAAAAAAAACAAAAAAAAAAAGCGCAATGTATTAGAAACTAAGAACGTACCTCAACGATTCTCATGCTCAGTTATGGCGGCCAAATGATGAGACACTCTGGGCAATATACCTCTTGTCTCAAGTTCTCTCACTGTAAATAGACTGAGTTAGCTAAAAACAGCCAAAAGAGGGCCCAGAGAAAATCAAAAACTATCAGGCAAAGGAGGGCCGCAACTGAGAGCAGCCGCAGCAACGCCGCCACAATCGGTCTTCGTCCCTGGACACATGCAACAACACTGTCCAAGACCTCTTCAGTGCCCCATAACCATGCTCCCCTGATGTCCACCCATGATCTACATCCACAGCGAGAACTCCATGCCCGACCATGTTGTCTGGTCCCTGTTCAACACCTACTTCATGAACTCCTGCTGCCTGGGCTTCATAGCACTGGTCTACTCTGTGAAGTCTAGGGACAGGAAAATGGTTGGCGACCTGACCAGGGCCCAGGCCTACACCTCCACCGCCAAGTGCCTGAACATCTGGGACCTGACTGTGCACATCATCATGACCATTCTGCTCATCATCATCCTAGTGTTGATCTTTCATGTCTATCAATAGATCAGGAGGCATCATCTAGGCCAGGAGCTCTGCCCATGATCTGAATCCCACGTACTCCACCTTCCATTCCTCGCCCTGCCCCCAAAGCCAAGTCCTGTATCAGCCCTTTATCCTCACACACTTTTCTACAATGGCATTCAATAAAGTGCTCGTGTTTCTGGTTAAAAAACAAAACAAAACAAACACCAGAGTCATTTCAACTCCAAACGTGTTTGACTCTACATTGTTGAACATCTACTATGTGCCAAGAACAGAACATAATAATCATCTAGGCTGAGTGTGCTGGCTCACAGCCTTAACCCCAACACTTTGGGAGGCCAAGGCAAGAGGACTACTTGAGGGCAGAAGTTCAAAACCAGCCTGGGTAACAGTTAGACTGTCTCTACAAAAAATTTTTTAAATTGTAGGGAGCAGCACTTTGGGAGGCCAAGGCAGGCAGATCACTTGAGCTCAAGAGTTTGAGGCCAACCTGGGCAACAAGGTAAGACCCTGTCTCTACTAAAAATATAAAAAATTAACCAGGCATGATGGTGCACGCATGTGTTACCAAGCTACTCAGGAGGATGAAGCATGAGAACTGCTTGAACTCGCGAGGTGGAGGTTGGAGTGAGCAGAAATTGCACCACCGCACTCCAGCCTGGGTGACAGAGCGAGACAGTGTCTCCAAAACAAAACAAGAAAACAAAAAAAAAATTGAAGGGTGTAATGGTGCATGTGCCTGTGGTCCCAGCTACTCAGGAGGCTGAGACGGGAGAATCACTTGAGGCTGCAATAAGCCATGATCGCAATACTGTACTCCAACCTGGGCAATAAAGCAAGATCCCATCTCAAAAAATGAATACATAAAAACAGAAAATATTAAGACTTTAGTATCTCACTTTATAAAGAAGGTATTGTTTCCCTTCTTGTTTTTTTTTTTTTTCAAGACAGAGACTCGCTCTGTCACCCAGGCTGGAGTGCAGTGGCGCCATCTCGGCTCACTGCAACCTCCACCTCCTGGGTTCAAGCGATTCCCCTGCCTCAGCCTCCCAAGTAGCCGGGACTACAGATGCATACCACCACGCGCAGCTAATTTTTTGTATTTTAGTAGAGATGAGTTTTCACCATGTTGGCCAGGTTGGTCTTGATCTCCTGACCTCATGATCCGCCCGCCACGGCCTCCCAAAGTGCTGGGATTACAGGCATGAGCCACCGTGCCCAGCCAAGGAAGGAATTCTTTCTCTTTTAATAAATAAACTAAGCCTGAGAGTGGCTGAGTAACTTGCCCATTCAAACTTCTGACCAAGTGGTAAGTGCCAACCATCCAAGAAACAGGGATACAATCAATAGTGAATAAAACAAAGTTCCTGCTTTCATAGAACTTAAATTTAATTACTAAAGAGTGAACCATGGCCGGGAGCGGTAGCTGATGCCTGTAATCCCAACACGTTGGGAGGCCGAGGCGGGCGGACCACCTGAGGTCAGGAGTTCAAGACCAGCCTGAACAACATGGCAAAACCCTGTCTCTACTAAAAACACAAAAATTAGCTGGGCATGGTGGTGGGTGCCTGTAATCCCAACTATTTGGGAGACTGAGGCAGGAGAATCACTTGAACCCAGGAGGCTGAGGTTGCAGTGAGCCAACATCACACCATTGCACTCCAGTCTGGGCAACACAGCAAGACTACGACTGGAAAAAAAAAAAAAAAAGAGTGAGCCATGATTCCAGCTTAGACTGGAGCTGCCAGATAAAATACAAGATGCTCAGTTAAATTTCAACTTTAGATAAGTAACTTTCTTCTATGCAATTTGATACACAATTATACTAAAAAATTAGTCAATGTTCATCAAAAATTCAAATTTAACTGAGTGTCTTGTATTTTTATTTGCCAAATCTGACAACCCTAGCTTAGATATAACCTCAAAACTCTTCCTCAAACCTTTAACTGCATTTCTGTGGCTCTAAAGCAGTAACTTTCTGACTGTATCAATAAAAAATTACTTTAAAAAATTTTGGGCTAGGTGCGGTGGCACATCCCTGTAATCCCAGCATTTCTGAATGCCAAGGTGGGTGGATCACCTGAGCTCCAGAGTTCAAGACCAGCCTGAACAACATGGCAAAACCCCATCTCTACAAAAAATACAAAAATTAGCCAGGCATGGGGGCGTGCTCCTGTAGTCCCAGTCACTCAGGAGGCTGAGGTGGGAGGATCGCTTGAGCCCAGGAGACAGAGGTTGCAGTGAGCTGAGACTGCACCACTGCATTCTAGCCTTGGTGACAAAGACCCTGTCTCAAAAAAAAGAAAAAAAAAAAATTAATTGAACCATTGCTGCTCAAGGCAGAGCAGGACTAGTCCATAGGCAATGTGCCTAGAGTTGGCCAAAAACTACATTTTGAATTACAATGCAGTATATATACATTAACTCAAACCAAAGCTTAAAACACTTCTTGGCAGCTGGGTGCAGTGGCTCACACCTGTAATCCCAGCACTTTGAGAAGCCGAGGCAGGTGGATTACAAGGTCAAGAGATCAAGACCATCCTGGCCAACATGGTGAAACCCCATCTCTACTAAAAATACAAAAATTAGGTCAGGCGTGATAGCTCACGCCTGTAATCCCAGCACTTTGGGAGGCCGAGGAAGGCGGAGCACCTGAGGTCAGGAGTTCGAGACCAGCCTGACCAACAAGGAGAAACCCTGTCTCTACTAAACTACAAAATTAGCCAGGCGTGGTGGCCCATGTCTGTAATCCCAGCTAATCAGGAGGCTGAGGCAGGAGAACTGCTTGAATCCAGGAGGCAGATTGGGCCACTGCACTCCAGCCTCGGCAACTAAGAGTGAAACGCCATCTCAAAAACAATTATTTCAATAATGCAGTGTGTCCTAACACTTCCTATTCATTTTTCTAAAAATGCTTGTCATAACCCACGAATGTAATTTCACAATCTACTAAGGGGTCATGATCCGCCGATTGAAAAATACTTCTCTGGGCGATATAAAAAAAATCATTTAACCTGGCGTTATGAGTCACCATTATGAGCACATTAATTAACTACATTGCGCTATAAAACAGTAATGCCCTTAGGGCCTAAAGTATACAGCTACAAACTTAGTCAAAACTCCCAGGCCAGGAGTGATGGCTCATGCCTGTAATCCCAGCACTTTGGGAGGCCTAGGTGGGTGGATCACCTGAGGTCAGGAGTTCAAGACCAGACTGGCCAAAATGGCAAAACCCCATCTCTACCAAAAATACAAAAATTAGCCGTGTGTGGTGGCGGGCACCTGTAATCCCAGCTACTCAGGAGGCAGAGGCAGGAGAATCGCTTGAAGCTGGGAGGCAGAGCTTGCAGTGAGCCAAGATTGTACTACTGCACTCCAGCCTGGGCAACAGAGCAAGATTCTATGTCAAAAAAAAAAGCCAGGTGTTGGCCGGGCACGGTGGCTCAAGCCTGTAATCCCAGCACTTTGGGAGGCTGAGGCGGGTGGATCACGAGGTCAGGAGATCGAGACCATCCTGGTTAACATGGTGAAACCCCGTCTCTACTAAAAATACAAAAAACTAGCCTGGCATGGTGGTGGGCGCCTGTAGTCCCAGCTACTTGGAGGCTGAGGCGGGAGAATGGCGTGAACCCGGGAGGCGTAGCTTGCAGTGAGCCGAGATCGCGCCACTGCACTCCAGTCTGGGCGACACAGCGAGACTCTGTCTCCAGAAAAAAAAAAAAAAAGCCAGGTGCATTGGCTCACGCCTGTGGTCCCAGCATTTTGGGAGGCTGAGGCAGGCAGATCACCTGAGATCAGGAGTTCAAGACCAGCCTGGCCAATGTGGGGAAACCCCGTCTCTACTAAAAATACAAAAATTAGCCGGGCATGGTGACCAACGTCTGTAATCTCAGCTACTCAGAAGTCTGAGGCAGCAGAACTGCTTGAACCCGGAAGGCAGAGCTACAGTGAGAGGAGATGGTGCCACTGCACTCTAGCCTGGGTGACAAGAGCGAAATTCCATCTCAAAAACAACAACAACAAAAAAAAACCTCTCAGAATGGTATATTTTTTGAGGTCTTGTGTCCTTTTTTTAGTAATTCTCCAGTCTCTTTGTTTTGTTTTTTGAGACAGGGTCTCATTTTAATGCCCAGGCTGGAGTGCACTGGTGCAATCACGGCTCACTTCAACATCCAGACTCAAGTGAACCACTCGCCTCGGCCTCCCAAGTAGCTGAGACTACAGACGTGCATGACCACGCCCGGCTAAATTTTTAGTATAAATATTTTTTGTTGAGACGGGGATTGCCTTTGTTGCCCAGGCTGGACCTGCACTCCTGGGCTCAGGTAATCTGCCTGCTTCAGCCTCCCAAAGTGTGGAATTACAGGTGTGAGACACCATGCCCAGCCATCAGTCTTCCAAACGTGTTTTTTGTATTTTTCAGAGAGTCTCGCTCTGTCACCCAGGCTGGGACACAGTGACACAATCTGAATCTGAGCTCACTGCAACCTTCGACTCTGAGGTTCAAGCGATTCTCCTGCTTCAACCTCCCAAGTAGCTGGGATTACAGGCGCACGTCCTGCCCCACGCCCGGCTTTTTTCTTTTTTTTTTTTTGAGACGGAGTCTCCCTCTGTTGCTAGGCTAGAGTGCAGTGGCCCAATCTCGGCTCACTGCAACCTCTGCCTCCTGGGTTCAAGCAATTCTCCTGCCTCAGCCTCCTGAGTAGCTGGGATTATAGACGTGCACCACTACGCCCAGCTAATTTTTTTGTATTTTTAGTAGAGATGGGGTTTCACCCTGTTGGCCAGGATGGTCTCAATCTCTTGACCTTGTGATCTGCCCTCCTCAGCCTCCCAAAGTGCTGGGATTACAGGGGTGAGCCACCAAGCCCAGCCCTTTTTCTGTTTTTTAGTAGAGACAGGGTTTCACCACATTGGCCAGACTGGTCTCAAACTCCTGACCTCAAGTGATCCACCGTGCCCAGCCAAGTCTTTCAACTTTCTATCACGCTACTGTTATTTCTCATTGCGGTTAATATATCTGCCTCTGAAAATATTACTTTTCTACTTGCTGCCAATATGTATATCACAAAAGAAAGCTAGATAGAATCATGTGTAAAGTAAAAGTAAGTTCTCAAAGAGGCCATAAAGAACTCTCCAGACCAGAGGCTGAAGCAGGAGGAGTTTAGGCCCAGGAGTTGGAGG